GGCATTACTCATTGCAAAGCCCACCAAACTGACTCTTCCATAATTACCAGAGGAAATAACCGAGTGGATATAGAGGCCAAGCAAGCAGCCCTCCAAACTGCACCCCAATTGACCATGTACCCCCTTACCCCAGCTTCCTCCCCCCTCACTAAACTCTCTCTCCCCTCTTCTGAAGTTAAAACTTTTCTCTCCTATTTACATATGCTTTTTCATCCTAACCTTCATGCTCTTTACACCTTCCTCCACCAATCCCTTTCCCTATCTCCAGGAGACATACAATACCTCAAACAGATTCCCCAACCCTGCTTGATCTGCCAGCACACAAACCCTAGTTCCAATGTTAGACCCCCTTCCTTTCCTACCCACCAAGCCAGAGGATGCCATGGACTCGCAGGTGGACTTTAACCATAAGCCCCCAGCAAAGAAAATTAAATACCTCCTGGTACTGGTAGACACCTTCACAGGATGGGTGAAAGCCTTCCCTACAACTAACAAAAGGACCTCCACAGTAACAACAATCTGGTCACAGATAATTATCCCATGGTTTGGCCTCCCAGCCTCCCTACAATCAGACAATGGGCCTGAGTTTGTTTCCTCTATTTCCCAAAAATTGGCACAAGCCTTAACATCCACTGGAAATTCCACATCCCCTACCACCCCCAATCTTCAGGTAAAGTTGAGCGTGCCAATCGCACATTAAAAAATACACTCACCAAACTCTCTCTCGAACTCCATCTAGATTGGACAAAACTCTTGCCCCTAGCCCTTCTCTGTCTCTGGGCCCTTCCAAAAAGACCACTCATGCTCAGCCCCTTCGAGCTCCTCTATGGCTGCCCGCTCCTCCCTATCATGGTTCAGCCAAAACCCCTCAACATTTCCCCCAATCTCCTCAATCCTCTCCTTACCTTTCTTCACTCTCTCCTTTGGTCTCATGCTCATGATCAGTTGCCACAGCCCTCTGACCCCACCAAAATAACTCCCTCCTTCCAAATGGGAGATCTGGTTTATTTAAAAAGTACAACCACACCTGGCCACCTGCAGGAAAAGTGAAGAGACCCATTTAAGGTCATCCTCACCACACCCATGGCTGCTAAGTTAGCAGGATTCCCTTCCTGGGTACACATCCAAAATCTAAAGTTGGCAGCCCCACAAAAGATCTACCAATCTCTCCTTACAGGACCAACAAAAGTAAAGATGTCCTGCCTCCCTAAGGTCTCAGAAGACAGAGACACACCCACTGAGACTCCCAGAAAATAAAATAAAACCCTATGCCCAAGGATCTAACATCCCACCTACTTACTCTCTATATTTCTCCTCTTCCATTCTTTCCTGTCAGTGCCTGCCCATGCCTTTACTCCTTCCTGTATACCCTCTACTGTGACACTTTAGATTTCCCACCTTCTAATATGATTAGTCTTCCTCCCTTCTCATACCTTCTCTACCCTTATTTTATAAATTTGATATCTGATCTCCATCTCCAGGGTACACTCTCAGACTTTACTCCTGAAGAAATCTATTCATTTTCCAACATACTCTTTGCCTTACTGTAAATCACTCCACCTATGCTTTCACTCCATTCCTTCCTGTGGGTAATTCTTGTCCTCGTCTCCATTGTCCTGAGTGTCACCCTGTGGGCAAGTTCTCCCCCTGAATGGAGATGGCCCCATTGCACAGCTCTCTGCCTTGGGTACCTTGCCCTATGCGCCTTACTCCCTCTACTCTCCTCATTCTTATGACCTGGATCTTTACTATCCTTCCAGTTAGTTCCCCATCTTCATTATATCTTTGGAGATTCAAGGTCTGAGAAACCTACACACACAATCAGGCCTCAGTCTCTTGCACTGCAGGAACTGCTGATGCCCTATACAGGGATGTTCCTCTACAATCACTATTTCTGTTGACCTGCAGTCTATATACCCCACTTACAACCCCTTTGTCTGCTTTCAATAGGACCAAAGTAGAGACCATTGTAAAAATGGTGACTCCTTCTATGGTGGGTGTCCCTATTGGTCTTGCCACATTCATTTAGCCCACAATAGCAGGGGCACATTTTATGCCCAAGACAACAAGTTCTATATCAAAATAAGAGCCCCTTGGGACTCGAGATGGGTTACAGCGGTAAAGGGAACAGCCTAACCCCATGGGTACAGCAAGTCTCCAGTCGGACATATCTGGATATCTAGGGAGTTACTCATGGCCCTCCACGCACAAGTACAAATTTCCTCAAACATCTTAGAGGCGGAGCAGATCCTCCAAAATCAACTTCCAGAAGGCTTCACAACCACTACCCTCTCATCCTGGATCCAAATTATACAAGCCTCCATACAGGTTCTTAAGTCCACCAGCCCTATGAATGTTACCCACTGCTTTCTACATGCCTCCCTCCAATGCCCCTTACTTGCAGCAGTCCCCGTCAACTTCTCCAAACCTACTCTCACCTCTATACCAGATACCCCAACATGCTATTCCCCACTGCCCTCTATACCTCTCTGGGAACCTAAGCCAGACCAACACCCACTTCCCTTTCATACTTGTTACTTCACTCAACATTCCACCCTCAAGGCAGGACTACACAGCCTCTGCTTCTCTAATATTTCTGTGACATCACAGATTTTTCCCTCCCTCTGGACTATCCTTCTGGTGTAATGGTACTTTATATGCCCGTGTGAATACCATCACCCTGGGTCCCTGCCTTTTGGTGGCAATTGTCCCTCAGCTCACCTTTTACGGAAAGGCTGAGCTTGCCTAGCTCCTTTCACCATGACAAAGAAGGGCTGCTTTCTTGCCTTTCATGGTCAGGATTAGCCTAGCCTCCTCTATTGCTCCATCAGGGCTAGCAGGAGGAGCTTTGGGCCGCAGCCTCATTTCAGCCAGGGACTTCGAGAATCGCCTACAGGTCACTCTTGAATCAACCTCAGTTTCTCTAGTCTCCCTTCAATGACAACTTACCTCATTAGCTCAGGTTGCCTTACAAAACCACGGGGCTGAGAAAGGAGGCACTTGCCTTTTCCTCCAAAAGGAATGTTGTCACTATATTAATAAGTCAGGCCTAGTGGAACAAAATATTGATACCCTGTCTCACTTAAGTGAAGAAATCTAACTTTGCAGGACTAAAAACTCCCCTGTCCTAGACTGGACTCAATCCCCTCTGCTTTCTTGGCTACTGCCTTTTCTAGCACCCCTTATTGTTGTCTTTATCCTCCTGAGCTTTCTCCCCTGCATTATGAAAACTTTACAAAATTTTTTACTAGATCGCATATCTGCAGTCACCAACCAAAGATTCAATCAACTCTTCCTCCAAGGATATCAACCTCTCCGGGGCCACTGGGGGACCCCCATGCTAACCCCTACGAAGACACCAAACCCTAAGGACCCCACTGAGAACATGTACTGCCCCCCACCAGCTGGAAGCAGCCAGAGGATCAAACTGCACCCCAATACCCAACCTTTTTCCTCTCCCTCTCTAAGGAACAAAAAATGGGAGAAGGATAAGAACTGCCCCTTGCCACCATTCTGCAGCCTGAGCCACAGCTGGTCTCATCCCTTGCAGAACAAAGCCTCACTGTCCCTTATCTCCTGCCACCTACCTTTGCCTGCCCCTAGCCCTTGCTTTCTCCCAAATGCTACTTAAGGCCAGACCTGCTGAGAGAAGCTGCTGCACCATTTTTTCTCGGCCAGCCAGCCTGTTTATTAAACTTTTGGACATGAGATACCTCTCATGAGCCTCCTTTGTGTGCGGTGTGTGGTGTTTTCCTAACAACAGGAAGAGGTTGTTCTCTGCCATTGGGTCAAGATAGCCTGAGAAAGCTAAAGTCAACAGGAGTCTCCTCATCTACATAGGCAGGTTATGAGTTGGACTGTGCCCCAGATCCTCTGGTCTCCACTGAGGTTCAGTTCCAGGACTACTCTAGGTGAGGCCTGCTCCCTGCCAAGAGCAGATCCACTCATGAAAGGGAAACCGAGGCAAGGTCAGACCAAAATTCCATCCATCAGAGATGAAGTGGAGCAGAAAGACTCCTTAAGATTGGCACTTAGACTCCTGCTAAGTGCATTTACTGAGTGACAGTCCTGAATTTTGATAGATTTCCTTAAACAGTACTTTTGGAACCAGAGTTCCAAAAACAAAGAGAGTGATAGGCCATGTTCCCGAATGATGTCCCCAGAAATGATGTGGTAGTCTCACATGTGCTGTGGTGATGGCTCACCCCATTGTCCATAATGTTCATTCTTCAATTTCAGGAGACAAAGCTCCCAGCAATCACCACCACACACAGGAGACCACTACGTCAGCAGGGTCAAAATAACTCCCAACCCCCAAGGTCATAGGAAGTCACAAGGTGTTTGAGTTATCCACCCTAAGATGTGTCAACATCAACATCTTGAAACAACAGATACAAAAACACACAGGAAGAAAAATCACATCTTAGGGGTAGTGGACCCAATGATACTTTGTAGACCCAACCTAGCCCATTCTGCAAAGATGGGCTTTGCCCATCAATAAAACTTTGTTCTGCTTTGTGATGGGCATATCTTCTTTCAATGACATATTTTTGTTCAGTGCTTTGTTCCTGATGCAAGAGCCTAAGAATCTTCTGACCAGGATCTTCAGAAACCACCCATTCGTAACAGATACTCAACAAATACTGATTCATAAATGAATACTTCAACTCCTAAGTGAAAACTTCCACAGTACCTATTGTCTTCACTCACAGGTGAGAAAACTAAGGCTCAGAGTTTTACCAAAGTCTAACTCCAAGATGAAGTTTTACTAGAGAGAATATAATAAAATGAAAATTATGTTCCTTATCTCTAAAATAGAGAAGTATATTTTTGTAGCTTTCTCAAAAGTAGATATAAACTCAGTTTCTAATACAAAATTTAAAAGATATATGTATGGAAATATTATAGTGAATCCCATTCATGTGTACAATTAACTTATGGTAATCATTATAATTTATTATATTCAAGAAGCAACTGGAACATTCCATAATAGCTCTAACCTGATTTTGGACAGCAGCTCTCCTCTGTCTGCACAGTCCACGCTGACTTGTCGAATAAGTTCATGAAATACTGTGTTGTAAATGGTCTGTTCCTTTTTCAATAGGTGCAGTAGCTGGTGCATCTGGTAGAAGACAAATAGGATAGTCAGCACTTACCACAGTCTCATCAGCAAAGACCATCTTAGGAGGAAAGTATGCTTAATGTGAACAGCTTTAGTAACACCTTGATTAACTTAAATTGATTAATTGCTATAATCATTACATTGTTATACAAAAATGATACATGATTTTTAAAAATCCAATTGTGTACCTTTTTGTATGATGAACTGAGGTCACAATACCACTCCTATGTTTTACTTGCCAAAAATACAAGACCTGAATCTAATCATGAGTATATATTAGACAAGCCAAAATTGAGAGCATTCTATAAAATAACTGACCTGGGCACTTCAAAATATCAAGGTCAAGAAAATCAAAGAGACGCTGAGGAATAGTTTCAGGTTAAAGCTGCCTGAAAGAACACAATGACAGTGTGATTCTGGGATGCTGGACTCAGGAAAAGTAGCTATGAAAGCCATTACAGGAAGAACTTATTAAATACAAAATTTGAATATGGACTGTGTTAGGAAATGTAGCAGGAACAAAGGGGTCGTGACACTGAGATCTGGAAGCAGCACTTTGTTAGTGACACCGCAGCTCAGCAGGATAACTCACAAAGTCTGGGTCCTAAACATGGTAGGGCTATTACTTTTATACATTAGCAGGTTTTGAGTAGATCAAGGCAGGGGGTCAACATAGCTCATTGGAAGACAGTTTTTTACATTCCTAATTTGGGTACAAGCCTGTCTCTACCAGGGAAGAAAAGGGTTTTGCTATTGCAGTTTCCTTGCTGAACTTCCAGCTGTAAGCTTGTTTTTGTCTTTGTGATTAAATGTCAGTGAACACAGCTACTGCCTGTCAGCAAGAGGTGCAAAGACTGATTTTTTTCCATTTCATTCTACCACAGTAATACTTCCATATCTGTGTTAAATTTTCTGACTTTGGTAACTATATCACAGATATATAAGAGAATGTCATTGTTTGTAGGAATAAACTGAGATATTTGATGGTAAAGATGCTTGATATCTTCAACTTACTCTAAAATGGTCTGGGGGGGAAAAAAAACACATGTATAGATAGAGGGGAGACAGAATGATAAAGCAAATAGGACACAACGTAAACAACAGGATGGAAAATCTGGGTGCTATGGTTTGAATGTCCCCTTCAGCCCCATGCTGAAATTTAATTACCATTGTGACAACAGTTAAAAGGTGGACAACCCTAACCCTTGTTATGTTTCTCCCCTGCTCAGTTTAGTCCATGTGCTTATAACATTATTTCTTATGAGACACACACATAAACATAAAAATAAAATAAAAAGTGGGACCTTTGATCATGAGGGCTCTGCCCTCCTGCATGGAATAATGCTGCTATCTAGGGAGTGAGCGAGTCATCACGGGAGTGGGCCTCTGATGAAAGATGAGTTCAGTCTGATTTCTCCTCTCCACATGAGATAACTTGCCCTTCACTTTCCACCATGATGTGAGGTAGCATGAGGCCCTTCCCAGATGCTGGGGCCATGCTCCTGGACTTGTCAACCTCCAGAAGCAAGAGCTAAATGAACCTCTATTGTTTATAAATTACTCTATTGTTTATAAACTGATACTCTGTTACAGCAGCAGAAAATGGAGTAAGATACTGGGCAAAGGCTAACTCAGCATGCCTTATTAACTTTTTCTAAAAAAGTTTCAAATTTTATACAAACAAAAATTTACAAAACAAAAAATAGCTCTCATAAAAGAATAAAATCTGTATCTATGAAGACTGAAAGAGTCCCTTCATTAAGTACAAAATAAAAGGTACAAGCGTAAGAAAGCATGGCTTAACTGGCAGGTTTTTAGTGGTACATAAAATAATAAGGGTCTTAGAAAATAATAATTGCTAAGGAAGATGCAGAGAAAGGGGAGCTCTCCTACACTTGGTGGGATGGAAATCAGTATAGCCATTGTGGAAAATAGCATGGTGGTTCCTCAAAACCTAAAAACAACAACAAATTATGATGCCACTTCTGGGTATACATCCAAAGGACAGGAAATCAGTATGTCAAATTGGCCTTTGCACTCCCATGTTCACTGCAGTACTGTTCACAATAGCCAAGACATCACACTACTTTGCAAGTATGAAGTCCTGGGTTCAAATTCCAGTGCCACAAAAAAAAAAAGAGAAGAGAAGAGAAGGGAGCTAAAAAGGGAAGGGAAGGGGGAGGGGGAGAGAGAGACAGAGAGAAGAAAGAGAAAAAGAAAGGAGAAAGAGAGAAAGAGGAAGGGAGGGAGGGAGGGAAAGACAGAGGGAAGGAAAAGAAAAAAGAAAGAATCAAAGCATTTAGCCTTTGTAGGCAGAGTTCAGATTTCTTAAGCTCCTTGCATGCATGTGAGTTTTGGGACTTAAGCAAAGAGGGGAACTTGAAAAATCACAGCCCAGAGAGTTCTGTGACTCCCAGCAACACCGTCTGCATGGAAGTCTACCACTAGAGGCAGGCTAGAGAAGGAGAGGGTTGGGCAGGGGCAATCTAAGGATTCTTGGTAAGAGCCAGGAAGCAAAAGGCAGCCCAGAGATACGTGGCCCAGAGATCCATGGCCCCACCCAATCCCACCACAGCTGTGCCATTGAATAAGGTCAATTTAAGAAAAAAATGGTCAGGTGCTGGTGGCTCATGTCAGTAATCCTAGCTACCCAAAAGCAGAGATCAAAATTGTGGTTCAAGGCCAGCCTGGGCAAATAGTTCATGAGACCCTATCTCGAAAAAACCAAACACCAAAAACTTGGGCTGCCAGAGTGACTCAAGTGGTACAGCGCCTGCCTAGCAAGCATGAGGACCTGAGTTCAAACCCCAGTACCACCAAAGAAAAAAGAAAAAAAAGCACTGAGCCCCAACTGACTGAGAGCTCAAGTTAGAGTAGCTGCTTGCTGGCAAACCAAACTGCCAATAGGCAGTGGAGCTTTGAAACTGAGCAACTCTGGGGACTTAACAAGTCACAACTTGGGGACTTCCAGGTCTTCCAAGTGAAGACTAACATCAGAGGCAGTCATAGTGGGAGAGAGGTTTTGACTGGGGCAACCTGAAAAGCAACAAAAGGCCCAGAGGCCCACTCTATGTAATGATATAGACACTCATGTATAGGAAGTGTTTTGAATTTCAGATAGACATGACAAGAAAAGAAGAAACCTATGTCATGTAATAATTAAAGTGCCAAAACTAGAGAACAAAGGATACTGAAAGCTGCAAAAGAAAAATGCTAGCTTTCATACAAAGGTAATCATATAGGAATCACCTCAGTGAAAGACCTATACAATGAAAATTATAAAGGAAGAAATCAATGAAGGCATTAGAAGACAGAAGGACATTCCATTTCATGGATCAGCAGAATCAGTACTGTGAAAATGGCTATACACTAAAACAATATATAAGTTCAATGCAATCACCATCAAAATTCCAATGACATTCTTCACTGAGATAGAAAAGTCAATTCTAAAGTTCATACAGAAGCATGAAAGCCTTGAATAGTCAAAGCAATCCTGAGCAAAAAAGAGCAACACTGGAAGCATCACAATACCTGACTTCAAGCTATGTTGCACAGCCATAGTAATAAAAACAGCATGGTATTGGCACAAAAACAGATGCAAAGACCAATAGAACAAAAGACCCAGACACAAACCCACACAGCTACAGTCATTTGATTTTTGATAAAGGAGCCCAAAATATGTGTTGGAGAAAATTAGCCTCTTCACAAATGATACTGCAAAAACTGGATATATACATGTAGAAGATTGAAACTAGGTCCCAGGCTCTCACTTTGTACTAGATCAAAGATCTTAATGTAAGTTTTAAAATTCTGAAATTACTTCAGGAAAGAGTAGGGAATACAGTGGAACATACAGGCATAGGTAATAACTTTATGAGCAGAATGCCAATAGCTCAGCAATTAAGAGAAAGGATCAAAAAACGGGACTACATGAAATTAAAAAGCCTCTACACAGCAAAGGAAACAGTCACCAAACTGAAGAAACAACCCAAAGGATGTGAGAAAAATCTTTGCCAGCCTGGCTTCCCCTGATTTCACAGTTACCTTGGTGGGCCCTGTGTACTCCTGACTTTCTTCACCAGCCCTCTGCAGCATAGTATCCATCACATCATTCAGCAGCATCACTTCCACTCTTTTATTCGGTTTCCTGAAAGATGAAGATTCAGACTTAGGTGATTAGAATTACAACAGGTCATCTTCAAAAAGAACATTCAATACGCAAAGAAAATGTATACGCTATGGAACATTAATGGCATTTTGAAGCATTAAACTCTTATTTATTGATCTGGTAGGATAGCATAATGCAGTGAAAAACAAAAAAAAATGCAAATAGTATGCTCTTATCTTAAAAAAAAAAAAAAGAAATCAATTCTCCCCTCCTAAAATTCTACATAACTACTATGTAGGGTATTAAGAACATAGAAAAAACATGGAGATAAACACCCGACTGTTAATGTTGGTTACCCCACAAGGGGAGAGAAGAAAAGGATCAAAGAAAAATAAGGGGAAAAAGACTAGCAAAAGGAAGAAATGCTGATGGTTAAATACAGAATGCAAAAGGATTTCACAGTACTTAAACACTATGCTCGATCTATGTAAATTTGAGTATGCAATTGAACATAGGAAAACAACTGATTTCTAATCAGAATCATAGACAATTACTGTTCTGGGTCTCTGCTATGTTAATATTTTTTACAAAATACCAAGAAAAAGTAATATATGTGTACGTAATCAATTTTTTCCAAGTGACAATTTTAGAAAATACATCATACTTACATGGATGGGAAGAGCAGTAGCCTGTTTTCACTATCTGTGAGAAGAGTAGTGTATTTGCTACAATAAATAAGGCAAGTAAATGTTATTTTAAGAAAATACTCCAGAGCTGGGCATGTAGCTCAGCGGTAGAGCATGAATTAGTATGCACAAGGCCCTGGGTTTGATCCCCAGCACCAGAAAAAGGAAGGAAGGGAGGGAGGGAGGGAGGGAGAGAGGGAAGAAAGATTCTGGCTTGTTTGTCAGTGGGCATATCCAGTACCCAGAATGTTGATTTCTAAATACTGTTCTCCACTAAAAGAGATCAGTACTCCTTGGAGAAGTGATTCATGGCTCATTCCAGGACTGAAGTTGAAATAAATCACATGATAAACTTAAGACATCATGGAATTGAGAAGCTGGGAGGCAATCAAAATGGTCCATCATATGCATGCAAGATAAGACTTAAATATCCATAGATATCTACAGACAGTTATAATGACATTTATCATTTTGGAACATTTTTAGTAAAGGATAATTACTCACAACCCTTGGTATGTCAAAATATAAAAATTTCCACGCTTCATTAAAAAAATGCCTTTCAGCCTTTGCAAAGGTGGAAGGACAGAGGGCTAGGTGTGGTGAAACATGTCTATAATCCCAACACTCAGGAAGCTGAGGCATGAGGACTGAGAGTTTGAGGCCAGCCTAACCTACATTGTGAGACCCTGCCTCCAAAAAAAAAAAAGTTACCAAAAATATGAGTCCATTTAGTTGGCAAACATCTTTGGCAAAATGTTGTTCTGAAGCCCACTATCATAAGGAAATGCCATATAGCGTATATATTGGATAAAATCCAAAGAGTGACAGCCATTGACGCCAGTGGGGGTGGCACACACCTGTAATCCTAGCTACTCAGAGATCAGGAAGATCATAGTCCATGGCTAGCCCAGGCAAAAAGTTAGCAAGACTACATCTCAACAAACAAGCCAGGTGTGGTGTTACTTGTCTGTAATTCCAGTTACACAGAAGGCATAGGTAGGAGGATTGCAGTATAGCCTGGCTATAGGTGCAAGACCCTATCTGAAAAGTAGCTAGCCACACTTGAGTGTGGCTCAAGTGGTAGAGTACCTGCCAAGAAAGCATAGGCCCTGAATTATTTAATAAATAAATAGAGAGCCTCTGGATATTTATTATAAAACCTTGTCCCAAAGTTCCAGTTTTTTAAACTTTGATACATTCAAGAAAATAAAAACAGGATCCCATTTCAATGGCATAAATAGGAATCAATGAAAGTGAGATGACTACTCTGAGACGAGAGCAAAGCCCCAGAGCCTGTGTCATGAAATTCTGGCTTAGAGGGCTACTTTCCTTGGTCTGCAAGGTCATGGTCCAAAACCTTTCCTAAAGGGCATAGTTAAGCACTCAGAACAAGTTCCATTTTTTAAAAACTTCGAACTAAATGGCAGGAAAAGACAAAGAACAATTTAATCATGAAAATTCCAAAGATTGTTATTTTGCAATATTGGGGTTTTGAACTCAGATCCTTGCACTTGTGAGGCAACTGTTCTACCACTTGAACCATGCCTCTGACTCTTTTTGCTTTTTAGTTATTTCTTCTTCATATAGGGTCTCGCACTTTTTGCCCCTGCCAGGCTTGCACAGCAATCCTCCTACCTATGCCTCCCAAGTCACTGGGATTGCAGCAGTGAGCCACCATGCCTGGCTCCAAACTCTCTTAAATTTTTCTGTTTTTCAATATCTTTCCTAAATTGTAATAGGGCTGCTAGCCCAAATGTTTCCTCATTACACTAGAAACAAGAGTGCACTATTCATGAGTTCTTCGGTGTGTGGGAAGAAGAAACAGGTCAACAGCTCAGGTAGTCAATATATATCATAAGTACTCACTCATCGTAACACTCCAAACCCGAAACTCCTGTACTTGACACAATATGAAATTCTTCAGGAATCAAAGTATCTGTTAATGTCTTTGGCTTAGAAAGAAAATGATGAAAAAAGAAAAAAGTTACACAAATCCTGGTTCCTAAATCAAAGGCATACTATTTATTAAGTTGAAAGATTTCGGTTAGAGAAATGACAATATTAATAAGGAATGTCATAGCAGATGACAAGAAAACTTGAAGCAGCGTACACATTTGAAAAATAAACCTGAATTAGAGAGTTATTTTAGTTTGAGTACAATCTACTCTCAGTATCTGAGGAGAGCTGGCTCCAGACCCCCACAGATGCTCAGAAGCCCATACTATAAAATGATGGATGACTGGGGTAAGGCTCAGGTGGTGGAGGACCTGCACTACAAGCGTGAGGCCCTGAGTTCAATCCCCACTATCGCAGGAAAAAAAAAAAAGGTGTAGTATTTGCATAGAACCTATGTATATCCTCTCATTTACTTTAAATCATCTCCATTACTTATAAAACCTAATAAAATGTAAATGCTATGTAAACAGTTGTCATGCTGAATTGTTTCAGGAATAATGACAAGAAAAAATATGTTCAGTATAGATGCAATTTTCTTTTTCAAGTATTTTCCATCCATAGTTGGTTGTATATATAGATGTGGAACCCTCAGTTATGGAGGGTCAACTATATTCATTCATCTCTTTTTTTTAATTCAGTAGGAAACTTAACAATTCGACTTAGAAAGACACCAAGGATAAGAATTCTACATTATATGTGGCTTTCTAGGGGAGGGGATCTGGTCTCTCATTCTGAATGGTTTGGAAAATGGCTTAACATAGCTTTGATCTTTTCCCACTAAATAACCTTTTAAAAAAAGAACTAGAGAATGCTATAAAGACAGGTGAGCAATGCACGTTGCCGTTAAGAATATGGTAGTGCTTTATTTGGGAGGAAATAATTTAGGAGATTATTTGTCCAATCTGTTACCTTATGAGGCACAATAGCACCGTCACGTGGCTGTAAAGAATGGCTGGGATGTGAACGTGGGGGACAAAGTTCATTCTCCTTGCTCTCTCCTTTTACGTACTTAACATCATACAGAAAAGAAATATCCCTAGAAAATAAGAAACTAAATAAGAGTGGGCAAAATGGTCACTTATGTCAGCAAAACTGACCTCCAACCTCATGCTGTGCTAAGAAGATTGAGGTCTTGAACCTGATTTTCCCTCAGTCTTCTCTCCTCCACCTGAAATTTCCTGTTCACATCAGAAACACTCTTCCCTTCAGTCTTTGTTTAAGGCAAATTTCCTTCCACCATGGGCTCTACGGGTTCGACCTTGGTCTGCACGCTCAGGACTCTCACCCTATCCATCACAACTTCTGCATATTCCCACTCTACTGATACATGCCCCTTCCAAATCCTTTCCTTGACCACACCTTGCTGCCATATTGCCACGACTGCTATGTTTACCTATCATTCTCTTACTGTCTGTTGAACGTTCAGCTTCCTAGAATTTCCTTGCAATCTGATTTCTGCCTATGACTCTCTTTGGAAACCATTCTCCAGAGAGCTGATGATGGTTCCCACTGCCAAGTTAAATAATCCCTTAGCAGTTATCTCCCACTCCTCTTGCCTGGAATATTTTCTAGGATTGACCAGCTCTCTGGGTAAAACCACTTTTCCCTTCTATTCCCTGTGTGTCTAGACACTCTGGGTCCTCTTGTCCTAACTGCTCCTTCTTGGACTTCTCTGTGCCTGCCTACTTCTAAGCAGAAAAGCTCCATAAAGCTGTGTCTTCATCTCTCTACTGTTCCCTCCCCTATACCTTTTCCCTTGGCAATACCATCAAATGCCACCTTACCCTGCTATTACCTCCAGGTACTACTGAGTTCTTCTAGTCTATCTTTTTACCCTCCCATACTCACCTATTCTGTCAGTAAACACACCACATCCCACATCGAAATCTCAACATCCATAACTGATTCCTTCCTGTTCTTTGTCCTCAATATCTGATCTATTGCTTACGCTTACTAATTCTATGGTCACCCTCATGTCATTATAGTGGTTGTTCCTCATCTCTTGTCAATGCTAAAGTTGTCATTACTTTTTATACAGGTTCCCAAGTCCCTCTAGTATAAACTATACACTTCTGCCAGATTCATCTCACTGTAGCACCATTTTATTCTATTTATTTAGTTAGTTAGTTAGTTTTGGTTTTTCTTTTTTTTTTTTTTTTGAGACAAGGTCTTGCTTTTAGCCAAGGCTGGCCTCAAACTCCCAATCCTCCTGCCTCAATCTCCTGAGTACTGGGATTATAGGCGTGTATCACCATGGCTGGCAATTTCCCTATAGCACCATTTTATTTTTTTCCCTTTATTGTTGTGATGGGTGGGGGTACATTGTGGCATTTACACAGGTTCTTACAATGTATCAAATATATCATACATGAAAATTCACCTCCTCTACCATTCTCCTTCATCTCCTCCCCTCCCCTATAATATTGCTGCATTTGTGTTAGTTCTATTGCACAAATGAGAGAGACAATGAGGCTCTTGGCATTTTGAGTTTGGTTAACTTCACTAAAGATGATGTTCTCCAGTTCCATCCATTTACCTGCGAATGACAAAATTTCATTCCTCTTTATGGCTGAGTAAAATTCCATTGTATATAAATACATATTTTCTTAATCCATTCGTCAGTAGTGAGGCATCTTGGCTATTTCCATAGCTTGGCTATTGTGAAGAGTGCTACAATAAACATGGGTATGTAGGTGCTTTTGTTATAAGCTGACTCACAATCCTTCAGGTATATCTCCCAAGGAGTGGTACTTCTGGATCCTATGTCAGGTCTATTTTTAGTTTTTTAAGAAGCCTGCATACTGTTTTCCATAGTGGTTGTACTAGCTTACAATAGCACTAAAAGTGTATGAGGGCTCCTTTTTCCCCACATCCTTGCCAACCTTTGTTGTTGTTTGTGTTTTTTTTTTTGTCCATATATTTATTTATTTATTTATTTATTTATTTTATTATTCATATGTGCATACAAGGCTTGGGTCATTTCTCCCCCCTGCCCCCACCCCCTCCATTACCACCCACTCCGCCCCCTCCTACTCCCCCCCACCCCCTCAATACCCAGCAGAAACTATTTTGCCTTTATTTCTAATTTTGTTGTAGAGAGAGTATAAGCAATAATAGGAAGGAACAAGGGTTTTTGCTGGTTGAGATAAGGATAGCTATACAGGGAGTTGACTCACATTAATTTCCTGTGCGTGTGTGTTACCTTCTAGGTTAATTCTTTGTGATCTAACCTTTTCTTTAGTTCCTGGTCCCCTTTTCCTATTGGCGTCAGTTGCTTTTAAGGTATCTGCTTTAGTTTCTCTGCGTTAAGGGCAACAAATGCTAGCTAATTTTTTAGGTGTCTTACCTATCCTCACCCTCCCTTGTGTGCTCTCGCTTTTATCATGTGCTCAAAGTCCAATCCCTTGTTGTGTTTGCCCTTGATCTAATGTCCACATATGAGGGAGAACATACGATTTTTGGTCTTTTGGGCCAGGCTAACCTCACTCAGAATGATGTTCTCCAATTCCATCCATTTACCAGCGAATGATAACATTTCGTTCTTCTTCATGGCTGCATAAAATTCCATTGTGTATAGATACCACATTTTCTTAATCCATTCGTCAGTGGGGGCATCTTGGCTGTTTCCATAACTTGGCTATTGTGAATAGTGCCGCAATAAACATGGGTGTGCAGGTGCCTCTGGAGTAACCTGTGTCACAGTCTTTTGGGTATATCCCCAAGAGTGGTATTGCTGGATCAAATGGTAGATCAATGTCTAGCTTTTTAAGTAGCCTCCAAATTTTTTTCCAGAGTGGTTGTACTAGTTTACATTCCCACCAACAGTGTAAGAGGGTTCCTTTTTCCCCCATCCTCGCCAACACCTGTTGTTAGTGGTGTTGCTGATGATGGCTATTCTAACAGGGGTGAGGTGGAATCTTAGTGTGGTTTTAATTTGCATTTCCTTTATTGCTAGAGATGGTGAGCATTTTTTCATGTGTTTTTGGCCATTTGAATTTCTTCTTTTGAGAAAGTTCTGTTTAGTTCACTTGCCCATTTCTTTATTGGTTCATTAGTTTTGGGAGAATTTAGTTTTTTAAGTTCCCTATATATTCTGGTTATCAGTCCTTTGTCTGATGTATAGTTGGCAAATATTTTCTCCCACTCTGTGGGTGTTCTCTTCAGTTTAGAGACCATTTCTTTTGATGAACAGAAGCTTTTTAGTTTTATGAGGTCCCATTTATCTATGCTATCTCTTAGTTGCTGTGCTGCTGGGGTTTCATTGAGAAAGTTCTTACCTATACCTACTAACTCCAGAGTATTTCCTACTCTTTCCTGTATCAACTTTAGAGTTTGTGGTCTGATATTAAGATCCTTGATCCATTTTGAGTTAATCTTGGTATAGGGTGATATACATGGATCTAGTTTCAGTTTTTTGCAGACTGCTAACCAGTTTTCCCAGCAGTTTTTGTTGAAGAGGCTGCTATTTCTCCATCGTATATTTTTAGCTCCTTTGTCAAAGACAAGTTGGTTATAGTTGTGTGGCTTCATATCTGGGTCCTCTATTCTGTTCCACTGGTCTTCATGTCTGTTTTTGTGCCAGTACCATGCTGTTTTTATTGTTATTGCTTTGTAATATAGTTTGAAGTCAGGTATTGTGATACCTCCTGCATTGTTCTTTTGACTGAGTATTGCCTTGGCTATTCGTGGCCTCTTGTGTTTCCATATAAATTTAAGTAGATTTTTCAATCTCTTTAATGAATGTCATTGGAATTTTGATGGGAATTGCATTAAACATGTAGATTACTTTGGGAGTATCGACATTTTTACTATGTTGATTCTACCAATCCATGAGCATGGGAGATCTCTCCACTTTCTATAGTCTTCCTCAATCTCTTTCTTCAGAAGTTATAGTTTTCCTTGTAGAGGTCTTTCACATCTTTTGTTAGGTTTACACCTAGGTATTTGATTTTTTTGAGGCTATTGTAAATGGAATTGTTTTCATACATTCTTTTTCAGTTTGCTCATTGTTAGTGTATAGAAATGCTAATGATTTTTCTATGTTGATTTTATATCCTGCTACCTTGCTATAGCTATTGATGATGTCTAGAAGCTTCTGAGTAGAGTTTTTTTGGGTCTTTAAGGTATAGGATCATGTCGTCTGCAAATAGGGATATTTTGACAGTTTCTTTACCTATTTGTATTCCTTTTATTCCTTCTTCTTGCCTAATTGCTCTGGCTAGGAATTCCAGTACTATGTTGAATAGGAGTGGGGATAGTGGGCATCCTTGTCTGGTTCCTGATTTTAGAGGGAATGGTTTCAGTTTTTCTCCGTTAAGTATAATGCTGGCTGTAGGTTTGTCATATATAGCTTTTATAATGTTGAGGTACTTTCCTTCTATTCCTAGTTTTCTTAGAGCTTTTAGCATGAAATGGTATTGGATCTTATCAAAGGCTTTTTCTGCATCTATTGAGATGATCAAGTGGTTTTTGTCTTTGCTTCTGTTAATGTGGTTTATTACGTTTATTGATTTTCGTATGTTGAACCACCCCTGCATCCCTGGGATGAAGCCTACTTGGTCGTGGTGAATAATCTTTTTGATGTGTTGTTGAATTCGGTTTGCCATTATTTTGTTGAGGATTTTTGCGTCAATGTTCATTAAGGAGATTGGCCTATAGTTCTTTGCCTGGTTTTGGGATAAGTGTAATACTGGCTTCATAAAATGTGTTCGGCAGTTTTCCTTCCCTTTCTGTTTCGTGGAACAGTTTAAGGAGGGTTGGTATCAGTTCTTCTTTAAAGGTCTGATAGAATTCAGCAGAGAATCCATCAGGTCCTGGACTTTTCTTTTTGGGGAGACTCTTGATTGCTGCTTCAATTTCATTTTGTGTTATAGGTCTATTCAGGTGATTAATTTCCTCTTGGTTCAGTTTTGGATGATCATATGTATCTAGAAATCTGTCCATTTCTTTAAGATTTTCAAATTTATTTGAATATAGGTTCTCAAAGTAGTCTCTGATGATTTCCTGGACTTCCATGGTGTTTGTTGTTATCTCCCC